CTATTAATCCCTCTATTAATTCAATCACTGCGACCACTAGAACAGACCATGCTTTCTGACCACGTCTGAGAGACACATGCCCACGCATGGGCCAGGTCACAAGAAATGACGTTAAGATTGATTCCTCAAAGAAAATTTTGGGTGCTGTTATCAGTAAAAGGGGAATAAAACCAGAGGAGGCGAACCATCAGATGCCTCCTAGGCAAAGAACAGACGAAAAATGTGTCAATTTTCCGGGAAGGTAACCAAGACTCGCTTTAGGGAGCCTCACCTGCACAGGCTTTTCCAAAACCATATACCTAATGTTTTATTTACATTTTCTGACTTCTTAATTTTTTTTCTTACAAGTGAGTTTTATTGGCACCCTGACCCAAGCACAGATCCCACCTACAGATTTCTCATCAGGGGGATCCCTGGGTGGCTCAGCAGTTTAGCACCTGCCTTCGGCCCAGGGCCTGATCCTGGAGTCCCAGGATCGAGTCCCACATCAGGCTCCTTGCAAGGAGCCTGCTTCTCCCTCTGCCTGTGCCTCTGGCTCTCTCTCTCACTCACTCTCTCCTTCATGAATAAATAAATAAAATCTTAAAAAAAAAAAAGATTTCTCATCGGCATGATGGCAATGGTAACAAGTACAGCATGCGCTTTATTTCACACACAAAACAAGGGGGCAGGATTCTTCTTCTTTCAACGGAGGCCTCCAAATTATGTAAGCTTTAGAACCAACAAAACATGGAAGTGCAACTGGTAAAAATACTCAAACATATTTTTGAAACTAGTAAGTATGCATGCCCAGCATATTGCACTTCCTTTTGCTTTTAGTGGAAATAAACCATTTTGTAGGTAGTTGATTCACTAGATCCTTCTCGATTACTCAGGCTCCTTCGATGCTCACAGGAAATAAACCTGACCATTCCCTTCAGATCTCCCCAACTTCTCAGAACTCAGCATCCTCATGAATAGGTCTTTGCCTGTGTCACAGACCAACACAAATAAGGTCCTTTTTCATTCTTGTTCCACCACGAACTTCACTCTCATGGGGAACCTGCCTCCCAGTATCTCCAGTTCCCGCAAGAGGCCTACCTGGGTTGTGAGATGGCATCTCTGGGTCTCCCCGTGGTTCCTTCTAGCACCAACTTGAAGAAACTTAACAGACACTCATTATTCACTCTAACATTTATTTTTAAAAATTGCAAATCAAAATGAATTCTCTAAGAGTACCAAAGAGAGAATGGGAGACGTTGGGTGGATCTCACATTGGCAAGAATCTAGCGTAGGAGACGGGTCAACGCAAATAAACCTACAGAGGACCCATTAGTAGGGTTGTGCCAAAACTGGGTCCGGACAACCAGAAAATGTGCCCTTGCTGTTGGGATTTCCAACTGCACTTTACCCTTCTATTTGGCAGTCAGACAGCCCCAGGAATGTAAATTCATGCTGTTCTGAGTGTGGGGGAAGGTGAGGGAGCTCAGCCTGCCTGCTGCTACTCTGATTACAGCATTTGTCCCCGGGAGAGACAGCTCTGGCACCAATGCTCCTCTTCTCCCCTCTCGGGAAAATGGCTTGGGCTGTGTACAGGGAAGGCCCAGGGGCACCCACAAATGACAGAGTCCACTTCATTCCCTAGCAGGTGGCCAAGTCTGCAGTCCCTCCAATGCGGTATGGAGTTTGAATCCATTTGTCCCCCTCCCCCCACCTCCTCCAAGAAATATGGCTAGAAACTGGGCAGCACAGTTAGGTTGCCTTTTTTCTTCTCATTTGTTGAAATTGTCTCTAGGCAGAAGAAGGGGGGAGTAGAGACCAGATGGTTGTAGTTGGAGTAGAAGCCTACTACTGAGGGGCGCTGAGACACTCAAATCTGGTGGCAGCCACTAGGGCCCTGCAGGGAAAGGGATGAAATAACAGAATCCGTGGCAAAGATTTCCCAAGGACTGATCGCCAGCGTCCTGTTTCCTTTATCCTCCTCCGACCACACACATGTAAAACGAAGCCTCCTTTAATTCTCCAAAGCCCTACCAACCTTGGGTTAAAGCAGACTTTAACTCTTGTGGGTGCTGGGTTAGTTACCCAGGGGGGCACCTGAGTGGCTCAGTGATTAAGCGTCTGCCTTTGGCTCAGGTCATGACCCCGGGGTCCTGGGATCGAGTCCCACATCAGGCTCCCTCTGCCTGTGTCTCTGCCTCTCTCTCTCTTTCTCTGGGTCTCTCATGAATAAATAAATCAAAATCTTTAAAAGAAATAAAAAAGGGGGAGGTTTATATCACAAGACTTAACAGCTTACAAACGAGCATTGCCCATTCTTCCTGAAGGCCCCCTTAGCCTGTCTGCATCTTCTCTGCAGTGATCTTCCTCAGTTGGGGAGACTCTGCCAACAAGAGGTCTCCCCACCCCGATCTCCAAGTCATCCAAACACCTGGTGAGGGTAGCACCCCAAGGTCAATGTGGACACTAATGCCTCCTGCTTCCCACTCCTCGGGAAAACTGATTCTCAATCTTTTGTAAAAATGCTACACAAATACCACCGAACATCCATCCAGATGTCCACCTGTTAGGGTTTTCTACTTCACCACTATTTCCTCAACTCTCCGGCACCAACAGGTGGTCTACAGTTTATATCCACTTTGCAACTAACTACCTGGAGTCAGCATTGCTGCCCCCCCCCTCCCCCGGGTTAAGGACTCTGTCCCACAACACTGTCCACACTTCAGAGATCAGTCACAAGTACCAGGTCTTCAGATTGCTCCCACTATTGTCACATCTGACATCCATTCAGGGGTTCCCACAAACCCCCCTTCGCTTGCACAATTGGCCAGGGTGATTCAAAGAACTTGGGTAGAGCCTTCGTTACCAGTTGACTGTAAAGAATGCGATGAAGGAAGAGATGCCCAGGGCAAGGTATTGGGGGGGGTGCGTGCGGAGCTTCTATGCCCTCCCTGCGCTTGCCACCTCCTCAGTCCCTCCACACCTTCAACAATCTGCATCCCACTGTGTAGTGGTTCCTGTGGAGGTTTCATGATGTAGTCACAATTGATAAAGTGCTGCTCACAATTACATCAATCTCCTCTGCAGGGAAGTCGGAGGTGGGGCTGACAGCTTCAAACCTCTAGCCAGCTCTTAGTCTTTCTGGTGACCAAAGACTCCAATCATCCTTATCACTCAGGAGATGCCAAGGGTATTAGGAGCTCTACGACGGGAACTGGGGACAAAGACCAAATATCTTTCTTATACCACTCCGTTGTGTTTACCAGCCTTGTAAAAAAAAAAAAAAAAGTGTGTGTGTATATATATATATATGTGTGTGTGGTGTGTGTATATACACACACCACACACACACATATCCTAGAGACACCCCCCCCCTTATGGGTTTCAGCCTTCCTATTTCTGGCTCTGTGCACTCTCCATGTCCCCTTAAGACACTGACCAGGAACCTCTGATTTGTTATTCCTGAGGCCTTGCCACCCATCATCCATTCCTCGGTGGTAGACCTCTTTATCCGTCGCCTCCAAGTAAATTATTCATGGGAACAAGTATTCTCCCATCACGGGGGCAGAGGGCCAATTCTCCTTCCCCTAAGGACCTTAGGGTGTCAGTGGTAAAAATGGACTTCAATGGCCCAAGCTCACTGCCATCGCCCTTCACTCAGGCATCCCCTCCACTCTCCTGCCCCCCTCCACCCGACCCTGGCCTCTGGCTCACTGAGCGCCCAGAAAGAACTGGTCATTCTGAATGCCCGAGGGAGGCCTGGTGGCTCTCATGGGAAACCCTCAGAGCACAGGTCTGGACACCCTGGAACGCAAGGCCAGCAACTTTACTGGTTAAAATGGGACGAGGGCTAGTTTGAAGCCCTCTGTGCGCTCTGCCCTACTGGCTCCCAGTCCCCCTCCCCGCATGTGCCCCACAAAATAAAACAAAAAAGCAGAACTACAGCAACAACCCACTGAGGGTAACAAAGCTTTCCTTTTAGGTCATCAAGAGGTCTTCCTTTGGAGTCAAAAACCTCGTTGCCCCCTCCCTTTGGGCCTTGCTTATCTGCGGCCCCCAGAGGCTCTCCGACGGGCCCGGGGCCTTAGACGCACACAGGTTGATCCGTGTTTAGGTCCCAGCATGTGGCAATGTGCTCCACTCTGATGACACTTTTCGTTTCTAAGAATAGAGCCGATGAAGTAATATTGCAACTGACGTTCCGGGGATTTGATTGGATAAGTGCATAAACTGTGGAGGGAGCAGGAGGGGGGGTTCTCCGGCCGGATCACATTAGTATTCCCGTCCTATCAATGTGCGGGGCAGCGCACAACGTCAGGCGGCCCGACTCCCTGCGTCCGCCAGTCCCGCCACGGATTCATTTGGGATCCTGGAGCAGACGAGCCCGTAGAGACGGGGGATCAAGGCAGCCTATTAGAGCCGGGTGCTTGCTTCGGGTGGGGGGGGGGGGACCGCCAGCCCTTCCAGGCCTGGCGACGCGGGGAGGGAGGGGAAAGACGACGGAGCGGCGCTGCGCTGCTGCGGGAGGACACCGGAGCCAGAGCGACACTCGTCCCCCCACCCCACCCCCCACCCCCACCTTGCAGCGCAGGCTTTGAAAGCTGCTCGCCCATCTGAATGGAAACTCAGAACCGCCTGGCGGCGCGTTCCTCCTCGCCCAGCCTCGCGGTCCATGCCGAGGGGGAGGTAGTGCGAGCCCGCGCCGGCGCCCAGCTCCCGGGACAGGCCGGGCGATGCTGCTGAGCAGAACTTGACCGAGCCCGTCCGCCGCCGCTGGTGGAGGCGATGCTGCACGGCGCCGCCGCCGCTCCCCCGGCTCTCCCGCAGGCTCAAGGTTACCCGCCCGCGCAGCCCGCCCCGAGCCTGTGAGCGCCGCGCCTCGCCTCCCGGCTCCGGCTGCTCCGGCTGCTCGGTGGCTGCTCGGCGGCTGCTCGGTGGTTGCTCGGCGGCTGCTCGGAGGCTGCTCGGCGGCTGCTCGGCGGCGGCGCGCAGGGCAAAGACCGGGCCGCCCGCGCCGGGGCGCACTGCACCAGCGGCTTCGGCTTGGTGGATGTGTATGCATGAGTTCTGCACCGAATGGGCGCAAAAAGCGCCCCGGCCGGTCCACCCGCTCCTCGATCTTCCAGATCAGCAAGCCACCGCTGCAGAGCGGAGATTGGGAGCGCAGGGGCAGCGGCTCCGAGAGCGCCCACAAAACCCAGCGAGCCCTGGACGACTGCAAGATGGTAGGTGAAAACTGCGCCTTTTTTTTTTTTTTTTTTTTTTTTTTGGAGAGGAAGGTGGGGAAAATCTTGTCTGTGAGTCGTTTGCTTGACTGCCAGCCACTCCCCCACCCTCGGCTCCTCCATGCCGATCACGTGCACAGGCACTATTTTTAAATCTGCAGTCCCCAGATGCGGGGTGAAAACCCGGGTCGCGATGGCCCCGCAAAGAAGTGCCACGGCCAGGGTCTTGGGGTCAGCGGCTGTAAGTCATGCCTCTACCCCCTCGGAGGTGAGGGTGGGGGGTGGGGGGACGGGGGATGCGAAAGACACGGTGAAGTGGCTTGCTCCACCAGGGAGGGAAGGGATGGGAAGGTGGCGGTGCTGATTTGTGGGGAGACGGCAGCAAATAAACCCAAACAGAGCACACGGGGCGCTGCAGAGGGGACGAAGGTTGCAGCGCAGAGGCTGTGGCCGGGCTTCCCGGCAGGCTCCGGAGCGGGAGTCTGGGTTTCAGTGGCCTGGCAGGAGGTGCCCAGTTTCCCTGTGACAACCTGTCTTGGGCCTCTGTCCCCTCGCAACTTCAGATCTCTCTCTTAACTGTGGTGCCAGGGAGCCTTCTGCGTGAGAGTTCCCATCCTCGAGCTCTAGGGACCTGGGAGTGGCATATGCTCTCGCTGTCTCGGGGAAACTGAGTCTAAGGGACCCGTGGAGGGGGTGGGGGGGATCCGGAAATAGAGCTTCCACGCTCGGACTGCACGATGAAAAATAAACACTTGCCTTGGACAAAGAGAAACTTCCCACCTTTGTGCCTTGATCTTTGAGTAGTCTGGAGTGTGGGCTCCTGAGCTGGAGACTTGTGGAGTTGGCCGCAGGGTCGCAGAACACCCCTGTTTGTGTACACCAGAATAGGACACGTTGGTGAAAGCGATTCACTTCTTTTCCAGCTTGTCCAGGAGTTCAACACGCAAGTGGCCCTGTATCGGGAGTTGGTCATTTCTATCGGGGACGTCTCTGTCAGCTGCCCCTCGCTCCGGGCGGAAATGCACAAGACAAGAACCAAAGGCTGTGAAATGGCCCGGCAGGCACACCAAAAACTTGCTGCCATCTCGGGGTAGGAGACTCTTTGGCATTATTTGGTAATTCAGACACATGATGCGTGGAGGCTGACAGTTCTTTACAGTGGCAGAGACCTCAGAGGTGATCTCTGCAAATCTGAAGTTTTAAACTCCTCACCCTGAGATCAGGATTATTTTGAGAGCCATAGAAAGACTAATTTCATGCCAAATTACAATCTGAAGGTTGTGTGATCCTTGAATATATATTCGTAGATTCAAGTTTGGGGTCATTAAGTGATTTCTTAAAAATTGACTTTCAATATGCCGTCCACATATTGAAACCCTGTGCTTCAGATTTTTCTGCGGAATGTTTGGCTGTCAAAATGAAGTCATCACACCTCAAGATTATTTGTCATCTGCTGCTAAACATCTCCTGCATGAAAGGCTAGTTCAGTAGAGAGAAAATCTTTGCTAAATCCTAGATTTACTCAACTATTTATACCGTGAGATAAATTCCTGTGATACCATTTAAAATAAAATCCCTAAAATAAAGTCTTGGATATAAATTACTCTCCTCATTGTACTGTATAAGAGGAAAGTTTTAACAGAAGAACATTTTTGTGAAGATTGGGGAAATTCACAAACCCAACTAAACCTAGGCTGTTGATGTGCCCCTCCCCATTATTTTGTATTTATTTTATCACCCTCATGGATTCCCTGTCCTAATTTAGATGCTGATGCAGTGAGCAAAAACTTCTCTTCTGAGATCCCCCTCTACTTTTTCCTGCTCTCTCAATATCAGGAAAGAAGTTAGTCATGGGTTTTTGTCAACAGTCACTATACTCAAATAAGAATGTAGAGCGAGAAAACACAGGAATCCTTATGGAAATACGTTAAGTGTTTGATTCCATTTGGATACAACCTTTATCTGTTTATCTGTGTATGTCTGGATTACAATCAAAGTGCAAGTCTTGTAGGCTAAACTGAAAATGTTGCAGATTGATCACATATAGGAATTATATCTCACGTATGCATTTGAAAGAATCACTCTTTGCCATCTTTAATGCCAACAATATATATAATGCCAATAATATGTATGGTGACCACTATTGGTATATATAGAATAGAAAGCCCTATGTTGCCTTTCTCAATAACTACACTTAACAAGTGGCGTCTTATATCATGAGAAAAGATACACTATCTAATGCCCTTGATATGAGACATAAAGTGTATTACAAACCTATCTCATTTGGTAGAAATATTTAGAAGCTTTATCCTTTTCTGCTTTAACTGTCACACTGTGCCTAACAGGAAGTGAATCTGGGATTCCATCTAGGATGTGGAAAGGGATTCAGTGTTTAAGGAGGTGGAAAGGGAGTCAGTGTTTAAGGAACGTAGGGAAGAAATGCAGCTGTGATAAATCCCAGACAATAAGGGAGGTAAAACAATCAGAAACACAAAGGGGGATAGCGGTGGAATAAAAACTGTAGGGAAACAATGATTCAGAAGGGAAAACAGATTTAGAACAGGAAATTTTATGCGCAGAGCTAAAAACTAGCAGCTTTGTCAATCTTGTGTCCAAGGCAGTATGATGTATATTGAGGATCCCTCTAAGGGGAAATGCAAATTGATGACATGTTCTAATCACAGAAGATAGACCAGAGAAAGAAACAAGGAGTTCAATTTAGTCTATTTTACTACACACACAAAATTTGGTTCTTCCAAAGTTTCAGGAAAGAAGGAATCTGAAACTACTGGCTCAAACTTGAGTTTTGAGGATTTGAGATGGATTTTATATACTCAGGGGTTGGTAGCCATTTGCTACTTATTTTTGTGTTTCCTGAAGGTTGATGTTATTGGGAACAGTTCTGTAAGTCTTAGTGGGAAAAAGTGTTGTTCTTTGAGCCTTGAAAATGTAAGGCCAACTCCGTACAATGTTCTAGAATAGAATCTGAAGTATTTCCTCCTTAAAATAATGAACACAATTCAACCTTCTTTCTGAAAAAAAAAATAATAAATGACAGCATTTTAACTAAAGGAAATCCCTTTAGCTTCTTTCCATCTAGTTTTCATTAATGAAGGATGTGATTCTTCTTGGTGGAACTCCGTTCCTGACATTGCTAGTTATGTTGGCTCTCATGTCAAGCTTGACGTGAAAGCTAGTAGGGGACCTGTAGCATTCACTTTAAAATCTGAAGCAGGGTTAAGAAAAGCAAAGGTTCTTGGGGGAATGGAGACACAAAGACTGGATTTCTTGAGCACTCATCCCTTGCCACTTAATTCATAGACTAACCCTCAGACGGAGAATTATTATCCTTCTTCTTACTGTTGGGTCTCAAAAAGGTTAAGAAACTTGCCCAAAGTTGCACAACTAAGGCCTTGTGACTCTGATTCGGCCCCACATTGTGTGCTTCAGAAATTCATGATCCTTCCTCTACATAATGCTGCCATTTAAAAAGGTATTATGTAAAAAGGAATGAAATACTAAAACACACTAACATATGGATGAATTGCAAGAAGAGTTTGCTCAAAGATACCAGTCACAAAATGCCACGTGTCATGCGATTCCTTTTACATGAAATGCTCACAAAAAAGCACATCTATATGCACCAGAAAGTAGATTGGTGGTTACCTAGATCTGCGAGCGGGAACAAAGGGTCACTACCAATGAGCCTTGGGGTGACTTTTTGGGGTGCTGGAAGTGTTCCAAAATTGAAATGGGGTGATGATGATTGTACAACTATATAGTTACTAAAAAAAAATCATTGAATGGCACATTTGGAACGATGAAGTTTATGGTGAGTAAAATATAGCTCAGTATCTTGTAAAAAGTTATGATCACCATCACCATGAATAAGGACACTTGGCCTTATTTTCTACACACACAGCTTTCAGTGAAAGGGGTGTGAACTCTAGGGCTGGGCGAACAGAACCCCCAGCTCTCCATGCATTCATCAAGACACCAGCCTGACAACTATTACCTACACACCAGTACTTTGCTCTGAGTAGGAACATAGGTGGGGCAATGGCAAGACCTGAAGGAGTAAATGAATTGACTTATTTCCCAACCAGCACAGACCACTCCTTTCCTGTTTATCACCTGGCTTTGGGGCCAGAGGAGGGAGTCTGGGTTGCAGGTAGCCAGGGGAAAAAGAGGAGGAAAACCAGACAGTTGGGATTAAGCCAGAGTTGCTTACACCCCTTCATCCCTAAGTGACGCCCTCAAGGGATGGTGGCCAGGAGCGATGAAAACTCCCACCGTGTTTCTCACCAGCTGGCCCCGGGTCAGAGGGTCATTGTCACAGAAGTCATCAAAACCCCCTTCCCAAACTGTGTCTACATCAGCTAAAGTTGCAGCACCACCTTTTCTTTCGAAGGCAACTGATGTCTTCTGGACAGAGCCAGCCAGGTGGATCCCAAGTCTCTCTTGCCTGGTTTGAGGAACCACAGTTACTGTCCCCTCATGGGGCTGATCCTCTCCTTACTATTCAAACTAAGAAAGGCCTCAAAGGTCACTTCCTAGAATGGTCCCCTGACTTGTGTTTTAGCAGCAGAATCTTCTTTCCAACTAAACGTGCAAAATCAGACTTAAAAGGCAGATCAAAAGTGGCAGTGCTGTGCCCTGCTTGGGGTGTGTGTGTGTGTGTGTGTGTGTGTGTGTGTGTGTGTGCGCGTGTGTGCGTGCATGCATGCGTGCACACCTCAGGGATAGGCGGCTGCCAGGCTCAGTGTCCTTGGACTCCCTTCCTAAAATGACTTCTGAGACACCTTTGAAGAATCCCTAGGACTTAGCACCATTGTCTTGTTTTGTATTGAAGAGATTCAGAGGATTTTGAGTGACTTCAGAGGCAAGGTGGTTCAGGACATGTGGAGACTGAGCATTGAGGCAGAGAACCCCATTCCGTGACCTTGATGGAACCACTTCACTGTGTGAATCTCACTCTCCTCCCCTGTAGTCTCAGTGTGCTGCTCCCCGCCGGGTGGTTGAGAGGGTTTGTGGGGCCAGGGCCATGGCTCCCAGTGTCTAAAGGACAACCCTCCAGTCCACGGCTATTCTAAGCCTGGAACCCAGGCATGTGGCTCCCTGGCCTGGTGCCAGGTCCATGAAGCATGCACATCTTGAGGACAAAGAGAGGAGCACCCCCTCCGGGCTAAGGAGCAACCCAAGAAGCCAGGACCCTCTAGCATCAGCTGAGACTGGGATCAAATCCCAGCTTTACCACTTGCTAGGAACCCGTGCATGTTGAGCTACACACGGCTTCCCAGGGTGGCAAAGGTGAGGCAGGTGCACTGGCATGGGTACGTAGACTTGGCCTGTGCCCAGATCTCAGCCCAGCCCTTTTACAAATGGTGTCACCCTCTCTGCCTCAGTTTTCTCGTCAGAGAATGGGGTGAATAGCAGACGGGACTGAACCATACAGCGTCGTAAGGACCAAGTAAGTGGACAGACACTAACCACTGAGACTGACTAGCACACCGTTACACTATTATGAAATTCAGATTAGCGTTCACATAATTATTCACAAGACTTGCAAAATTCAAGACATCCTGAATACTTAATATGAAAAAAAATTTATCCATCAACTATTTTTCAAAAACTCGGGTTGAAATTAATTTATGCTTATCGTAGGTCTTTATATTACGTTTGGAAGAATTTTCTAGGTTGAAGCTTCCCAGATGACTCTCAAAAGGCTATTTTTTTTTCCTTTTTGAGAGCATAAGGGGGAGGGGGAGAGGGAGAGAGAAATCCAAGCAGGTTCCTCCCAGCACAGAACCCAATGTGGGGCTCGATCTCACGACTCTGAGATCATGACCTAGCCAAAACCAAGTAGATGCTCAACCAAATGAGCCACCCAGGCGCCCCAAGGCTTTTTCTTTAATACTTTAATATGGATAAGTGAGGGTTCCAAAGTGGTTTAGAAAGATGTTCTTCATGCAATGCCTGGGTGGCTCAGTGTTTGAGCATCTGCCTTTGGCTCAGGGTGTGATCCCAGGATCAAGTCCCGCATTGGGCTCCCCGCATGGAGCCTTCTTCTCCCTCTGCCTCTCTGTCTCT